CTCAATATCTTCATCAAGCAACTCCAAAAACCCATCATCTTCATCATCAACTGATGAGGTTAGTGATGATCTGCGTAGAAGGATTGGACTACTAACATCAGCTGATGTATCACCCGTACGAGGCAAAAACTAAAGTGACAAAACAAAGGTTGATATTTTCATGGTTTAAGATAAAAATTAGATTCACTCAATCCAGAAATTTGTATAATAGGGGTTGATCATTTAGCAGTAAATATTAAAAAAAAAATTGAGTTTTTCCAATAGACAAAATTAAAATCAGCACCTCAAGATCAGAGGTAACAGGCAAAAATGTCACAAAAGCACTGGTACAATTCGTATTCTCCAGAAAACAGATGCAATTGCTTTTATTCACTTGTGGGACAAATATTCATAGAATTCCCAGTGTGGAAACAGGCCATTCAGCCCAATAAGTCCACACCAACTCTCAAGAGCAGCCCACCCAGACTCACCCCTTTTCCCTATCACCCTGTATTCCCCCTGTCTAACCTAACCTGCATATCCCTGAACACTACGGGCAATTTAACATGGCCAATCCACCTGACTAGCACAACTTTGGTGCTCTGGTTTCCTTAGTCCCAGAGGAAACCCACAGACATGGAGGGGAAAAAAAGAGTGTGCCAACTCCACAGTCACCTGAAGCTAGAATTGAACCCAGATCCTGGCACTAAGGCAGCAATGCTGACCAATGCCACCATCCAGCCAGCCAGCAACACCTGGCCAGGCCAGCATTTGTTGCCCATCCATAGTTGCCCTCAAGGTGGTGGTGAGCTGCCTTCTTGAACTGCAATTCAAATGCTGTACGTCAACTCACTACTGTAGGGATGGGATTCCAGAATTTTGAGCCAGAGAAGGGATGGTGATATTCCCAAATCAGGATGGGTGGGCTTGGAGGGCAACTTGCAAGTGATGTTCCTGTATATCTGGTGCCCCTGTCCTTCTAGATGATAGGTGATGGATTTAGAAGGTGCCGTCCGAGGACCTTTGGCAAATTTCAGCAGCGCATCTTGTAGACAGTAAACGGATGCTACTGAGGAAATGGTGGATGGAGTGCCAAATCAGGAAACCCAAAGTGTCTTGGATGGTGTCAAGCCAACCAGCAGCACCCACATCCCACAAGTGATTAATAAAAAGCATCTTGTTGGAGCTGCATCCATTCAGACATGTGGAGAGTATTCAGCACTCCTTGGTTGTGCCTTGCAGATGGCAGACAGGCTTTGGGTAGTCAGGCATGTAGCTTGCCATAGAACCCCAAGCTTCTGACCTGCTCTTGTAGCTAGTGTTCTCATCTGGCAAGTCCAGTTGAGTTTCTGTTCAATGGTAGACCCAAGAATGTTGATAACAAGGGATTCAATGAAGGTAACAATTGAATGTCAAAGGACAGTGGTTAGATTGTCTCTTATCAGAGGTGATCATTGGCCAGCACATGGCATAAGTGTTACTTGTCAGCCCAAGCAATATCCTGTTGCATTTCAACATGGATTGCTACATTATCTGAAGAGTCACAGATGCTGAACACTGCATAGACAAACATCCCTACTTCTGACCTTACAATATAGAGGGAAGACTATTGATGAAACAGCTGAAGATTGTTGGGCCCAGGATAATCCCTGAGGAACACCTGCACAGGTGTCCTAGAAATGAGATGACTGACCTTCACACAACTATCTTCCTACATGGTAAGATGGACACCCACCCCCTGCAACCCCCCCACCACCACCACCAAACCCCAGCCTTCCCAGTTTTGCTACAGCTCCCTGATGCCACACAAATGTGGCCTTGATGTCAAGGGCTATCACTCATCTCACCTCTGGAATTCAGTTTTTGTCCATGTTTAAATTCAGGCTATAATGAGGTCAGAAGCAGCATGGTAGAACCCAAACTGGGCATCAGTGATCAGGGTCATGGTCCAAGTCTGCCATTCCACTCACTTGGCACTTGACTGTAGACTGCTACAACTGCTTCCACTACCATATCTTTTGCACTGTTGTGTTGGGCTATTCCATCATTGTGGGGACATTGTGGAGCCTCCTCAGCCAGCAAGTTGTTTAATTGTCCAGTCACAACAGACATGGCAGGACTGCAAACTTAGCTCAGTTTGTAACTTGCTGCTTATGCTTTTGTTTAGCATACTAGCATTCCTGTTGAGGCTTCACATGGTTGACACCTCATTTTTAGGAATGCTTGGTGCTGCACCTTGCATGCCCTCTGGCACTCATTGAACCAGGGTGGATTCCCAACTGGATGATCATGGTTGGGTGAGGGACATGCCAGGCCATGGAGGTGATGGAGATTATGCTGGAGTACAATTCTGTTGCTGATAGCCCAGAGTGCTTCACAGATGTCCAGTCTTGAGTTGTTAGAATATATTCCAATATAGTCTGTCTTATCCAACTGTGATGGCACCACACAACATGGAGGTTATTTGAAATAAGGTTGGACATTTTCTCCACAAAGATTGTGCAATGGTCACACTACCAGTACTGTTATTGACAACTGCCAGGTCATCCATCCAATTTCATCCAAGACTTCAGAGCAATTGCTACAAATGAGTGGCTGTTTGAGGGAAGTTGAGCATCAAACACATTGTGCTTGGAGTCACACGTGGCAGATTTCCTTCCCACTGCCAAATGGGCTTCTTCCCAACAATTCACAAAGGACTCATGGTCATCAGTAGATTCTTAACTCCAGATTTAATTCAATTCTACCATCTTCAATGGCAGACTTTGAACCCAAGTCACCAGAATATTAGTTGAGTTAACCCCTCATTTCAGTGTACTACCTTTGTTTATTGCACAGAAGAGAAAAATTATTATATTCCACTTGTCATGAGCTAACCCATTCACATAGACCCAAATCCTGTTGAAATCTTCTTGCAACCAACTTGCACCCCTGCACAGTTTGGTGTCATCAGCAAGATCTGAAATATCCACATTTAAACCATTTGTTGTTTGGACTTGCACTGATTTACAGTCCCCCACTGATAACCTGCCATGCTGAGATGGATCAGTTTATTTATAGTCTGGGCTCTATCAATCTCAAACACAAAAGCAGTATATTCCCACCTAAGATGGGCACACTAAAATTCACTAACTGGTGAGACCTTAGCAAAGTCTTCTGAAAATCCAAAATATGCTACATTCACAGATAACACAGTGTGGAGCTAGAGGAACAGGGAAGTTGACTTTTCAGGTCAGGACCCAACTTCAGAAATCTGAAGATTTTCTGAAGCAGGGTCCTGACCTGAAACATCAACTTTCCTGCTCCTCTGATGCTGCCTGGTCTGCTGCGTTCCTCCAGCTCCACACTTATCTGACTCCAGCATCTGCAGTTCTTATTATCTTACGTTACATCCACAGGTTGTAGAAGACTAACACAAACAAAGAGGATCTCTCTGTAAATCAATGCTAACCCTGCCCAATTTTTCAATTTCTAAATACTCAATTATCACATCCTGTCTGCTAGTCAGGCCTTTACCTTACTACACAGACAACAGGGCTGTAGTTTACCACTGCCCCATCTCCCTTCTTATTGGATTTACATTTGCATTTTCCAGTCAGCAGGAAAATAAGTTCATCTGCTTCACAAGATTGATCAATCCTTGACCCAACCAATTTTAAGCACACCTCCACTAATACTGATCTGAAAGCTCTTCAGTTACACAAGTCCCTCAGTCACCTATTTGATAAATTCCCTGCATGTATTCAGAATTGTTTATATTCTGCCATTTTCCCCTGTTCACACTAAGTTCTCTTGTCCCCACCTGTAAAACGTGTACATTTTCTTGTTTAAAATCTTTCAACTTTTTTTTTTAAAAAAGTAACAATTTGAGATGCGTTGAAGCTATTCATTTCAGGATTGCCAATTAAGACAATTCATACCACAAGAGAAAAAGGTGTGCTTGTTGAGTGATTACTGGAGATCGTCATTAAGCAAGCAACAGGGAATTATAGGTTTTCCAATCTTCCAAGCAATTAAAAGGCACAAGGCTTGAACACTGTCTGCAAACACTTCCAATTGTTGGACCTGTGCATTGTGTTAATGATATTTGTAGACAACAGATCCCTGCATAAGTGTGCAATTTGTATAAAGTGCTTGTGGAATTTCATTTGAGTAGCAATGCTGTAGCAGTGCCATAGCCAGCCAACTCACTTGTAGTACAGAGTTATCATTTGATGCGTTTGCTGTTGTCTTTCTGAATGCAAAAGCTAAGCAACTTCTCTTTGTACCAAGAGTTGTAGTTAAAAATTCTGTTACTTGCCATTAATGCAGGTGCAGAGCTCGGTCTCTGATCCTGTCTATTCCCACTAGAGAAGGTACAGAGACGGTTTCGAGAAACTGGATGAACTGGCTTTTTGAACTCAAATCCTTCCTGTGAAAAGACAGAAACAAGGTGAATTCATTTGCAAAAAGCAAGCAGTTAAGAGCCCATCTATCTGCAATTTTCTCCCAATTACCCATTTGGAAGCAAGCTACAGTCTAATTTCAGATTATTGCACCACTGGGTTGATTACAGACAAACATAGCAAAGCAGCATTTGAACCACAAACACCTTTAACCCATTGTCATAAGGCGTGAAGTTAACCTAAACAGCACTCAAGCTGAAGTCTGAAGTTAAAATTACAACCCAAAGAAACAGTTAAAAATTTTGAAATTATGCAAAATTCCTGATTTTCATGTCCTTTAAACACAGGTTGACAAAGCAGAGACCAGATTTCTGTACTCATGGATGACTAAATAGACCCTAGCTTCAGGTAAACATTTACAAGCCATCAGCAGGTAAACCCCTGGTTAAACCTAATCCAGCCTTAGATCCAAAAGGAAAAAGCGTTCACGAATGGAGGAAAGGACTGGGAAAAACAAACAGTAGATCCTGATCAGCTCTCAAGTGGCTCTCGTTGATCAAAACAATACTTCTCAATCTTCCTTTCTAGATGCCTTCATAGGTTTGTAGGAGACACTGACTGGTTCACACATCTATAAGTCAGTGACCTTCCTAAGTCACAGCTTACAGCAACTGAAGGAGGGGAAAAAAAAAGTGAGTCAGTTTTCTTCAGGCTTATTTTTTGTTTAGATCACAGGAAGGTGTTGTCAAACAAGCTTTGGTGAATCCTTAAGTGCATCCTGAAGGAAGTACACTGCTGAACAGTGGTGGATGACATGCCACTCAAGCAGGCTGCAAACACTATCCACAAAGCTATAGAGATGTTCAAGCTGCTTGCTTCTAGAGAAGTGTGTTTCATCACACTAAGCGGTACTTTAAGCAGTAGACAGACTGAGTGCCTCTTCGCGGGATTCCTAGCCGCTGACCTGCTTTTGTAGCTTGAGCATCATATGCTTAGTCCAGTTTTTTTTGGTGAATAACCCTCAGAACATTGATAGTTAGGAATTCTGCGACTGATTTTTTTTTTTAAAAATCAAAAAGGTTTATTCACAGGATGTGGGCATCACAGCCTAGGCCAGCATCTACTACTTGTCCCTCATTTCCCAAAGAGGGAAGGAGTTAACCACAATACTGTAGGATTGGAATCACACTTAGATCAGAAAAGGACACGAATTCCCTTCCCTACAGGAAATTGGTAATCAAATAGTTTGTCCAGTAAATAAATTGTTTCATAAAATTCAAATTCCACTGTCTGCCCAGATGTTCTGGGTGTTCATAACATACTTAGGATTTGGATTAATACTGTAACAATATGTCATCACCTCTCCTTGAAGGTGATGGGCAACAGTCAGATCCTCCAATTGGGCATGGTCAGTCTGGTATTTGTGGCACGAATGCTACTTGTCACTTTTCAGCCCAAGCCCAGTTATTGTCAAGACCTTGCCAAATTTGGATATTTGGTCAAATGCAGCCTTGAAAAGGGCAGTCACTCCTACCTCACTTCTGGAGGTCAACTCTTTTGGTCATCTATGAACTAAGGCTGTAATGATGTCATGAGCCTAATGAACCTGGCTGAATCCAAACTGAGATTGTGGAAGCTATGACTGAATGCTTTTTAGTTCAATTGCAGGACATGGGCATTACTGACTGGCCAGCATTTATACCATCCTTAACTGCCCTTGAGGTAGTGGTGAGCTGCCTTGCACTGCTGTAGCCCACCTGCCATGGATTGACCCACAATGCCATGAGGGAAAGAATTCCAGGATTTTGATCCAGTGACAGTGAAGGAACAGCAATATATTTCAAGTCAGGATGGCGAGTGGCTTGGACAGGAAGTTATCTACTGCCCTTCTAGGAGAAAGGAACTGTGGGTTTGGAAAGTGCTGTTGGAGATCTGAATTTCTGCAGTGCATCTTGTAGATAATACACACTGCTGCTACACAGCATGTCAGGGAGTGGTATCAGAATTCCTAACTATGAAGGTATCCCCTCACCCCTGGAATTCTGCTCTTTTGCCCATGTTTAAACCAAGGCTGTAATGAGGTCTGGAACTGAGTGGCCCTGACAGGACACAAACTGGGCATCACTGAGCAGCTGCTGCTCAATTGCACTGTACATGACCCAGAGTAGATTAGTGGGGCAGTAATTGGCCGGGTTGGATTCTTCCTGCTTTTTACATACAGGACGTGCCTGGGCAATTTTACACATTGTTAGATAGATGCCAGTGTTTTAACCATACTGGAACAGCTGGCTAGTGGAGCAGCAAGCTCTGGAACACAAGTCTGTAGTACTCTTGCCAAAACCCATAGCCTTTACAGTATCCATTGTCTCCAGCTGTTTGTTGATATCACATGCAGTGATGTTAGTGCCCTGCACTATCAACATTCCCAAAACAAAAGCACTGGCATTCTTAAGGTTCAGTTTTAAGTTAGACTCCTGTTGGTTGCCTCAAAAAATCATCATTCAAATGATTTACATTTAAAGCAAAACATTTGTCAGAGTTAAGGAACTTACGTTTTCTTTGTTCTTGTCAGTTGTGAGGATACCACCACTTCCTTCATGAAACACTTCTGAATCCAGAGAATTACACTGGCTTGACTTCAATGCAGGACTGGATCCTAGAAGTCTCATCTAGAAATAAGCAAATAGCTTAACATCTACTTTTCTAATTATATGGTCAATATACTGAAATGCCAAATGCAGAAGTCATTTCTACAGTAGCCTAGTTCACAATCTCCTGTCAGAGGACCTAGAATGATTAGTCAATTGCAATCCATGGATGACAAGGTATCCTTTAATGTCAAAAGCTCATTATGGTCTACTAGTGCTTCAGTTATTTTACAAATTTATCGGACATGGGCAGCGCTGGCAAAGTAAGCCATTTATCAAAAAAATCTGAATGCACTTCATTTGCAAGGTAAGTGGTCTAAAAGGCATGAAGAGAATATTGGAAAACAATGGCAGTGATCCACTGTTAGGAAGATCAGATGTGCAGAGTATTTCCTAAAAAGAAAGCACATGTACAAAAGAACCTAGGTCTCCTGGTTAGCCTTCATGTCTTTATGACATGAAGTTCAGCAAGCTATTCAGAAGCCTAATGGAATGCAAGCTTTTCTTGCAAGAGGATTTGAATCAAGGAGTGTTGCCTTTAAAATCTTACTTCAATTGTGTAGGAGCTTGGTTAGACTACAACTGGACTACTCTGTGCAGTTTTGGTCTCTATCTCAGGAGAGATTATTGCCAGAGAGAGTGCAAAGGTTTACTACACTGCCTCGTGAAGGGAGAGACTGGGCAAACCAGGCCTGGATTTTCTAGAGTTTAAAACTGAGGTGACTGCATGCATCTTCAAAATACCGAAGGGAGAGAAGATAGATGTAAATAATGCACTTCCCCTGGTTGGAGAGGGTGCACAGCCAAGCGATACCATAAAAGTAAGGTGGGGGCACCACTTAGATCAGAGATGCAGAATTTTGTTTTTACAATTTAGGGGTGCAAGCGTTTAAGTCTTTACCACAGAGGGCTGTGGAGGCTCAGTGAGAGTATGTTTAAGGAAGAGGTTGACAGATTTCTGATTACTTGTATGGACCATCAGGATGGTGTACACGAAAGAGAGTATTCAAGTGTTTGATCAGCCTTAGTTGAACTCAGTTGTGGCGTGCACTAGCTGCTCTTGTTCCTACGCTTATGCCCACTTGTAAGTGACCTTAGTTTAAGTCAGTTCAGATGGTAGTGTGGAAGCGCAGTCAAAGGCAAGCCAATATTTTTCTCTGGAGAGATATTTGTTAACATACCTGTTTGTTACAAACTCACAATTTTCATTCCTATACAAATGAAATTTAAATTCAACTGTTATGGAATTAGAATTCCATCTCCAGATAATAGCCCAGATTTGTAGTTTCAGTCTTAAGTGTTACTGCTCGTTTCATACTATAACAGCACTAGCATTTGTAAGTGGGAACAAATCATTTGAATTATTGGGATGGTGCAGAAGGTAGGGTGAAGGATTAAGATTGAGGCATTACGACCAATTTAGGGGGAAAATGAAATCTGTACAGCTGGATTGTTTGCACACAGCAGGACCAATGCCTTCTAAGGTTTGGTACTTTGGAATGACATTAATTTAATCAGTGGATGATTCACAAATACATTGCAACATAAAATGAAGTTGTCCACATCAGCATAAGAACACACCAGTAGCAATGTATTATTTAGATAGTGATAGACTGGAAAAGTGTTGACGTACAGAAAGAGGAAGCTGATGTCTTTCAGACCAGTCACAGAAAGCAAGTGTGCAGATGGGAGTGTTGTCATCACTAGACTAGCAATCTAGAAATGTAGGTGTTCTGGGGATATGGGTTCAAATTCTACCATGGCAGATAGAAGAATTTAAATTCATTAAAAATCTGGAATAAAAGCTGTATATTGTCAAACATGCAACAACAATTGTAGCTGAAACCCTCTGGTTCAATTTCCTTCCCTAAAGGCCAGCTATTCTCAGCTGCTCCAGCTTATATGCAACTCTATACCCACAGCAATGCAGCCTGACTTCACTATCCTCAACACACCAGCCATAAAATGATCATGTCCCATAAATGAAAGACAATTAAGAGGCAAATGACATGTTGGGCTTCATTGCAAGGGGTTAGAGTACAGGAGCAAAGAAGTTATATTGCAAATGCGTAGGGCCTCAGGACACACCTTGTACATAGTTTGGTCCCCTTACCTAAGAAGGGGCATTGTCAGAGTGCACAGTGAAGGTTCACCAGACTGATTTGTGGGATAGTAGGTTTATAACACAAGAGATTAGATCAACTTGACTTTTATTCAGCAGAATTTGAAAATGTCAGGGGATCTTATTCATAAAATTCTGACAGTATTGCTCAACTGGACACAGGAGCGATTTCTCCTGGCCAAGAATCCAGAACAAGGGTTATGGTGTCAGGATACAGAAGCCAATTCAGTCTGAGATTAGAAGAAATTTCTTTCCTGAAAAAGTGATAAACTTGTGGTTTTTCTACCACAGGTGGTTGTGGAAGCAATGCCACTTAACATCTCTAGGCATCTGTCACTTGAATATGTTCGATGGAGGAAGGTGGTTTTCAATTGGCAGCAGCCCACTCTGGCATCCACGTTTTGATTCTAAATCAAATTAGAATTGTTAAAAGCACAAGAAAGTTCAATGCTTCCTTCTAGTCTTGTCATTGTTTTTCTGGAGTGAATTTCAAGCAAGTGTATGTAGTCAGCTGGTGGTTACATCAACTGTGACAATTCTGACAAGCAGCTGCACATTGATGCACCATGATAAACCACATGGAGTGTATGCTCTTTCATTCTTCATTTGTGCACTGTGCATTAAGAAACTGGAAATAACAGTTTTATAAAGCCACCAGGAAACTCTGTTCTGATCCACATGAATGAATCATAAGATTAATGTCCTTCCTCACTTGTCAAATAGAGCATTCTTCATGGGATGGGAAAAATTCAGATCAATAGAATAGCACAGGAACAGCTTTTTTGACTCACCATTTGTGCACTAGGGGAAGTTGAAGGCAAGAAATCTGACCACCAGTTAACATTCAGATTAGTTTAGAACAGCAGCATGGTTGGCACACAGACTCCTGTCACCATTCTGACAGGTGAACACTTTCCCCACCCCCCACTCAACAGTATACTTTTAGGCAGATAGCCACAATGGACCCCTGCCCCTTAGGTGGGATCATGTCTCAAACTCTGATTCTTTCTGCCTCCTGCATGCTCCAACTGCCACTCTACCCAATCTAGATGATTGGGCAAGAGCTGTACTTGGACATTTCTTGTAGATACAGACAGGCATTCAAACTTATTTCCCACATTCCAAGAGAAACATACTATTCTGCTAACTGCATTTTTTACACTAGCAACTAAACAACTTTTTAAAATTTAGAGCTAACAAGATGGTCCCTTGAGCTAGAATCTAAGGAATACTAACTATACTGTTCTGTAAACTAGTGCCTAGGTGCTACTCAATCCCATTATTGTACCACTGTACAACTAGCTTATATTTCACTATTAAAACCTTATGGGTATGAAAAGGCTAATGTTATTAATGGTAGCCTGTATTGATTGCCACCACAGCATATGCAGCATGCTTTAAAAGTACCAAGCCTGCAACAAGAACTGGTTCTAAAATTTCAAGTTTTAGAAGCCATGGTCTACGAGGTGTGTAAGCAAACCAGTATCCAGTGAAAGGACTCACCGGGAGGGAGTTTATTCTTCTTATGGGGAATTTTCTGCAAAACAGGATAGAAAGATTGTTAACAAAACACAATGTCAAAATTGGCCAACTTAAACTTCTACCCCTTTTGGCTTCCTCGCCATCAGTATAATCAACCAACCTTTAGTTAGCAGGCCACACAACTTTCTGGAAAAAAAATTGCCACTAGAGACAAGATGGCTTAAAGTCTGCTTAGTTATGTTTGAATAGTACCAAATATCAATTTGAGTTCATCTAATCATCAAGCTTGATTGGATGTATTGGCCTGATGAGTAAACAGTGCGCCAAGAATCAGATAGCTACAAAAAGTGTTTTCCTGGTCCTTTTAAAGCCTATACTACCAGCAGTAACAGGTTCCTCCTAGTCAGTCAAGATCACAATGAGGGAAGAGGGGAAAGCTACAAACCTTGTTAGAGAATGGTGACCCTCTCTGCCGCTGTCACCACCTTATAAAGAACTTATCCTAGTTATTCATCAACTCCAGTGGAGTGTGCATCGGGATTGACAGATATCAAACCACCATCGCCCCAGACTGGGAGGAGAAACCACTTAAAACATAGCAAGGATGAAGAACAGTTTAAAAGTCTGTTTAGCTTGGGAGGGCGACAAAAAGAGGAACAAAGAGTTGCTGAATGCAACAGCAGTCACAGCAGGAAAGATGACTGAAAAATAATAAAATTTAAGACCATTAGATAATTCAACTAAATCACTAGAAAAACAGCAGCCTCAAAATTCAAATAAAGCCATGTCAGCAATCTCAGGAGCCCCACTAGAGGATAAACTCAAGGCCATTTCACAATGCATACATTTTAGCACCTCTGTAGTTAAAAGGTTACTTCAAGCCTGAGGCTTACTTACTTGGCAATCACTTTTCCAGATTCTAATATTGCTTTTTCAAACCTGTAAGAAAGTAACAAACTTTAGCTCATTGTTCCATTAACACTCGTAGCTATCAGTATAAACTATCAAATGAAAGCAACTTTTAAAAAGTCATGGCAATAATCGGGCAAGTTATCAATGAATTAACCATTACAGCTTGGGTTTAAAGGGTGTATTAAGGATAAACCAAGTTGAGGTTCCATTATTTCAAAACCACAGTTTCATGTAACATTGGTCAAAAGACATGCATTTGAAACCCCATCTAAAAAAGCACATTCACCATTTCAAAAGCTTGTTTTAATATTGGTAGATAGCACTATATTCACCACTGGTTAAACTCATGACACCTTTAATACTTAATTACATGGTGGCTTCACATCTGTCCATGACTAGCATATGAACCTTGAAGTGTTATGAATATAGGCATTCTACAAAGCATAAGGATTCCAAACACCCTCAGCTCAAATGAATGGGGTCAAAATTGACATTACCATATTCACAGGATGGCTTCTTGGACTCACTGCTTGCCACCTGTATGCAAATCAATCCCTTTGTCTGGGACCAAGATTAGCCTCAGTCACCATATGCCATCCAGGAGGAGTTCTAAGGGCTGACCCTACAGCTGACAGCATTTAATCAGTGCCACAATCAGGAAGACAAGTGTGGCATAACAAAGACAGCACAGAATTAGTCAAGCAGAAGAGATAACCTTTTTCCTTTCAACATGTGCTACCAACTATACACAGCAGTCTAAGACAGTGAGCTAGCAACAGATGGGGCTATACATGCACTCACCCCACAATTAAAATGGAAGTCTCTTTGAGAGTTTATTGCATTAGCTTGCAGATAGCAGTACAAGAGAATTCTTTTGACCTCTTCATTAGGAAGAGAGTTAAATCGATAACTCACTAAAGCTGCTTGAGTTTGCCTATACTTCAATCAGGACACAAAATATGTTAAATCCTCATTTTAAAAGCAACTTAAACTGGATTATTATAACCTACAGTTCTGTAACTGTAAAGTTGGCAAAAAGGTAGCTTCCAAAAATTGTTGCTACAATACAAAGGAAACGTAAGTGATTAGGAGGAGTAGCAACAGCAAGTTTAGAATGAAACAACTACAATAAGCCAGTGGCTTAAAAACATTTGAATAAAAATAAGTACTGAACCGAAGAGATAGTGTTCAGCATAGAATAAGGCATAGGCTTACAGGTATTAAAACAGCATCTGAGGCGGATGAGAAGCTAAAGTATTCCCTGGCTCTAGTCTAGTTGAACTGTGGTGAAACTGGTCAGTGAGATCAAAACACAGTCTCGTGTCATTAATTACAGGAGAGACAAGAAATAAAAACCATGCTGCTGCTCAAAGTCAAGCCCAGACTAGTGGCTGGTGCACCAACATATACTAGTTACAACTTCAGAATATGTAACTCGCCTATTTTTATACAGAAAGTGAAAAAAGTAGCAGGTTCCTCAAAGAAAACAGCTCCATTGGAAACAAACATAGCAGAGGTCATCACTAGCAATAAACAGTTGCAGGTGGAATGACAATTTAACTTGACACTTCCGCAGCACCTGTACAACCCTGTCTCAAAAGGGTAGAATCCTAGGGTAACAGGTTAAAAAAGCCAAATTTATACAAGGACATCAGTGACAGCAACAAGGCTCCCTGTTGAGCCGAGACAGCATTTGCCCACATTACCCTGGTCAGACAGATCCTGACTGAAAACATTTATCCAAAAATCCCAATATAGTTTCAAAACTGGAAGACCTACAAATTGCATGATCTGTACCACTGATTCAAGATTTGGTCACCACTTGCATCTGAGTTGGTCAGTCGTTTCATCAATCTGATGTCACGAGAAACCAATTTTTACTAGGGTCACAAAAGTCAAGAGGCAATGATAAAAGTTTCTATTCTTAACAAGTTGTACTAAAGATCATTAGATGTTGGAGATAACAACAGATTTTCTTGGATGTTCCAGTCCAGTTAAAAGAGATAAAAAGTGTTTGCAATTAAAAAGGATGGGATGGGACAGGATAGGTAGAAAATTGAGAACTTGAGAAGCAAAAGTATTGGTTTTTGAAGGGAATTAACATCTGCTATTTGTTGCTGATAGATTTGAAATAAAACACCACTGAAATCACAGACAGTAAAGAAACAAGAGCACTGTTACAAAGGCGATGAACACAGCAGGCCAAGCAGCATCATAGGAGCAGAGCACTGTTAGCTGGCGACATCTGCACAAAGCCCAGGCTACATTCTGAAAAAACAAAAACAGCATTTCTACCTTCATCAGTTGACCTGAATACGTAAACTCTGGATTTCATGCAGATGGAATTTTGGTGCTCTACACTGGAAATAGGGATCCCTTGCTTCAAGATCTTAAGTCATTAGTTATCCACACTCAAAGGGGTGCTGATTTAAGACAGATAAAAGGAATTCTCCGAGGAAATAGGGCATGACTGCACGGAACAAAGAAACTACTACAAAACAGAGCACAAACTTCACACCTCAGTTCATACACTTCGACATATCCAGGCCCAGTTAATTAGTTATTAATAAAAAGGACAATGTACACAGTACAAGCAAAAAAGAAAACCACAGACAATGTACAATTTCCTTTAAGTATTCAAATCCTCTTAATGGCTGGAACCTTCAACGGGAATAAAAACACCAAGTCACAAGTAGCATTAAAGCTAATTATTTCTTCCAGTCTGACTGAAGGCAGGCATATACAGCGTGGCTGATTAGGAACCAAAAAGCAAGACGACAGAGCATGGTCACAATTGAGTTACAGCTAGGTAGTACCAGAGTGCAACTGGACATAGCTGGAAAGGGATGCCTTACCTTTGCCCCATTCGTTGCAGAGCAATCCTCTTCCATAAAGATTTGCTCATGAGGCAAGAATAAAATGGTGCTCAACTGGATGCTTTGCAACAGAACTATTCAACTTTTTATCCAAAATTCTACCCATGTTCTAGCAAGGCACCTCAAAATGACATCTGGAACTGGAGGATAAAGCATGAAGTGAAAGTGAAACAAAAAGGCCACCATTTTGAAATTGAATGTTTATATAGCAAGAGTAATGAGCAATTTCCCATTATACAAAGCACATACCTTGGCTGGAGATAAAAATCTCAGTGGAAATATTGCTAATGCAGCAAAGAGCCCAGGAATATAGAAATAGAAGTCAGAAAGTCTGACTGATGGGGGGAAAACCACACAAGTACCTGCAGAATCAGTAAACTCAAGGTAGAAAGTGGATTTAATATATAGCCAGTGTGAAAGCAGCAAAACATTCTGGTCACTTCAGAATTTGCAAAACACAAGCCATCAGTATACACAGATACTCAAACACAGGAGCAGGCTCACTAGCAACTAGTACAAAATTTCTATTAGTTACCGATCTTAGTTAATGCTTTGCCCAATAGTCATCCAAGCTTAACCAAAGGGAGTTGAAACTTACGTTTCACTGATTGCCTTTTCATCCATTGGACTTGGAGAATCCATACAAAGCCCTGGAAAGACAAGTAGGACAATATAATCAGTTACTTGTTTCTTAGTACAAAGTATATAAAAAAAAAAAAAGAAAAAAATCAGACTAGGCTATCTGGCCTTCAAGCCAACGCCATCATTCAATTCGAGTTTAGGCAGAATTAAATTCTTAAATTCCTTCAACATAAAAAACTGCCTGAATACTCAATGACATGGCATCCACATACATCTGGGGCTAGAAAATTCTGAAGATTCACAGCCTTGAGTAAGAGAAAATCCTCATGAAAAGTCTTAAATGAGGAACTACAAACTGTAAAGATAGATCCCTGGTTTGAAGCAGTCTGGCCAGAAGAGCTTTTTGTACAATGATCTTGTTAAGCCCAATTTTAGATGTTTCACCTTTGTATTAGAGGCATTTCATACTATATCTACTGGTGGGGCAAACCCTCATTCCAGAAATTGAGGACTTCTTTGCCCTTCCCGTAAGCCAAGTATCTCTTTAGATTTCAGCTGTCTTTATACAAAGTAAGAAGTAAATCCCAAGTGAATTTTGACTATACGTTTTGAATAAAAAAATTAAGTTAATGTACAGTAGTTGTAATTTCTCTTTATTCATGGGAAGAACAGTTATGATCAACTCAAATGAAATTGTTGACTTGCTCGCTGAGCTGGCTTGTTCTCATTCAGCACGGCGAGCAAGTCAACAACCTCATCCACAACCTGAGCTACAGATGTTTGCTAAAAGCTGGAATTAAGGGTCTAATGATGACCACAAATCCATTGCCAATTGTTGGGAAAAACCCATCTGGTTCACTAATTTTCTTTAGGGAAGTAAACTGCCATCCATCCCTGGTCTGGCCTACATGTGATGCCAGACCCACAGCAGTGTGGTTGACTCTGAACTGCCCTCTGGGTAATAAATGCTGCCTAGCCAGCAACACCTTCATCCCGTTAATGAGGAAAAGCACTCCATACATCCAATGACTACTGCAATGAAGTGCTGAAGGGGAGTGGAGGCCACCTAGCAAGATGCTAGTGGAAGGACACCAAGAAATATTACAAAATAGCAGACAAGTGAATCAAAAGTCAATTTAAGAGTTGTGGTACACTTTGTTTGGTCACAGGATAAATACACAAACATTCTACAGATTGTAAGAAACCTTAAAAGTGGAGAAACAGGTAGAATGAAGTGGTATTCAAATTTTCAGCCATAAAATTACACACAAAGTGCAATGCAAATAATACTTGCTTAGTTTGATTCTTGTACAGTAAGCAGCAAGTTAGTGACATTGAGTTAGAACTTTAAAATCCAAAGCCAAAATTTTCATCTTCATACTTCCGTTAAATGCATTTATGCTATTGAACTCACCACTTCAATCATGTGGAATTTACTTGCTCTCAGATTAATTTAATTCCATAAAAGAGGTGAAGTGTATGTACAGTTCATCAATTGATGTAAAGCAATTTATATTGGAGTAAAGAAGCAGTTAGATGTGTGTACAAGGCACAAATACTCAAAAGAGGCAAAAAAGTCATCATATAAACTTATCAGGGTGACTTTTCCTGTCGTATGTATGAAACACGAGGGTACAATCTGGCAGTATTCAGCAGCGAGCAGTCAGGAACCAATTTTTCCATTTGCAAGCCCAAACTCGTGCTTTTACTAACAATAGAAATATCATCCTAAAGTAGTGCCAGATAGTTTGTCCATGTAAAATGATTGTTTGTTCAGAGATCGATGCACTTTTCAGGCCACTCAGTACCCTGTCGTCATGATCTGGGGTAACTGTGGTGAACTGCAGCAGACTGTGCCGCTCAGGCAGGAGAACAGCTAATGACAGCTCCACCTTGGTGTGGCAAATGATACCATTCAACGACCAAAAAGGAAACCACAAATTGGCAGCCAGCCAATGAAATCTACAAAGACTTCTTGAAAATATCAAGAACAAACTTGCATATTACAACTAATTTAAAATAAAATGCTGAGATCAGTACATCAGTCAGCCACACCAAGAAATTGCTTCTAACTTGAAGAAAGTGAAACACTCTTGTTAACGCCTTCACATTTGAAGTAGTAACCTTTGGTCTCACTCCCACTCAGCCCTCACACCATCATCCACCAAGGCTGGGAGCTTAAATACAGATGAGTAAGTCAGTTTTAAAATATTGCAGGTAGCAAGTTTAAAGTTCTTTCACAGGATGAAGGTATCACTGGCAAAGCCAGTTTTTGGTGTCCATCCTTAAGTGCTCAACATGAGCCACCTTCACTGAGTAATGCAGTACATTGAGACCAGACAAATTTAAAATTGATAAGTTGGCCATGCTATTGGTTAGGCTGTCAGCACACTAGGCACCAGTAATGATCTTTCAGGCCTCCTTACACAGAGGCAGTATCAGAAGGCTGGAGTTGCATTATAAATGCAAGGATAAGTCAAGCCATTTGCAGGCCAGTCAGCAGTGGACAAGCTTCCTGTAGCAATAATTTGGCAGATGGAGAGTGACATGAACAGACAAGTTGATGAAAGCCAACCTGGGTTTCTTCAGAAAAAAAAAAAAATGCTCAGCTAGCTTACCAGAGTTTACTTTGAAGAGGTTATAGGGATAATTTCAAGTTTGTGGAGAATATTCACCTTCGAAGCATTCTAAAACATAGAACATTACAGCGCAGTACAGGCCCTTCGGCCCTCGATGTTGCGCCGACCTGTGAAACCAATCTGAAGCCCATCTAACCTAAACTATTCCATTATCATCCATATGTTTATCCAATGACCATTTAAATGCCCTTAAAGTGGGCGAGTCTACTATTTTTGCAGGCAGGGCATTCCACGCCCTTACTACTCTCCGAGTAAAGAACCTACCTCTGACATCTGTCCTATATCTATCACCCCTCAATTTAAAGCTATGTCCCCTCGTGCTAGCCATCACCATCCGAGGAAAAAGGCTCCCGCTGTCCACCCTATCTAATCCTCTGATCATCTTGTATGTATGTATATCATGATAGTCTGAAACTTTGATAAAAGGCAAGAACAGATTGATGGAATAGGCAATCATGTGGCAGATGAAGCTCAATACAGAAGCTTTCAGTCTGGCAGAGAGCCTAAAACTACAAAAGGGACAGGAGCAGAAGGATCTGTGCGCGCACACCTAGTTCCCGATGATGGCATGAGATCACAGGAGTCAAAGTACACAGTATCCTAGGTTTTACTAATAAGGGCATGGAGAACAAGAGCAAGGGTGAAGTTGAATTTGAGATATTTTGGCCTCAGCTGGAGTACTGCATCAGATTCTGAAATTCATGATGAGAAGGTAGTGGCGCATGCAGAAGGTATTTCCAAGAATGGCTCCACTGGTGAGGAACTTCAGTTATGAACGTCAATTTAAAGGCAGGTCCCACTGAAGTATTCAACATGAATCAAAAACTTTTTTCCATAATGAGGGCTACAGGAAGAATGGGTACCAAGTAAAAGTGTTTATTTGGAGAGCAGATGCAGATGCAGACATTGAGTTAAGTGCAACAATTGTGATGTTGGTGTAAGGATCAGTGCTGGAGGAAGAGGATTTCACCCAGTGAGTGATGTGATGATGACAGGTGAAGTCAAGATGTTGTGCCTTGGAGGACAACTTGCAGGCACTGAAGACAAGAGCCAACAGATGCAGGCGGTCACAAGCGGTAAAGGGCCCAGGTGTGAAACATGATGTCAAAGGTAGCTTGGTGCGGTTCTGCAGTCCATCTTGTTGGCACGTTGGGACTACTATTTTTGGATAGGAACTGTCAGCTAAAGTGGAGTTAGATCTTCAGCAAGTGACGTTTATGGAAGCTGGCTTGGAAAGTTAGCCTTAGGTTGATTATTATTCTAAGAACACTGCAGAAATTGCAGCATCCAACATGTGTTATGCTTAAGAACCAGCAGCTGTTTGGGTGTTAAAAGCAAAAGGAGACCAGTGCCAACCAAAGAATCTTACTTGAAGAATACAAACATTGAACCGATTATAACTTTAAGGTAGTGCGGCTGTGAAAGCTGATGTATGGAGTTTCGGCTTTTCTAGTTCACATGCAGTTTTCAAATTATTGAAAGCTTGAGAAAAGCCTAGTGTCTAGGCCAAGTAAATATTCCCAACAGTCTGCAAAAACTAAGTAGATTAATCTTATTTGCTTTTCTCTGCTAAAGTTGGTATTTATAAATTGTTAACTCCTCTGAACTATAAACTTGGTGTCTGATAACCAGACTGAGTAATATAGTTAGGAACAATTGGACACCGACTATTTTAATTTCAACGCTGCGATATCCAGTATTAGCAAGTCTGGTTTGTGTCAGTGAAGATTACCTAGATTGCCATCAATCATACAAGAGAGTTTGGACAAACTTCGATTATTTCCACTGCAGCATTGTAGACTGAGGGGCAACCTGATAAAAGTATACAAGATTGACAGACAGATAAATTAGACCAGTCTTTTTCCCCCGCAGGATGGGGATGTCAAACACTAGGGGGCATAGGTTCAAAGAGAGACAGGGAAGTTTAAAAGAGATGCACAAGGCATGTGGTAGATGCCTGGAATGTGCTGCTGAAGAGGTAGCAAAAGCAAATATGATAGCAACATTTAATAGACATACTAACAAGCAGGGAATACAGGGACAAAGGCCACGTGCAGGTATCATGGTTGGCCAAAGGGTCTGTTCCTATGCCGCTCTAAGTACTATTGGAGCCACACTAATCCAGGTAAGTGGATATTTCATTTTCCTGGGATAGTAGGAACTGCAGATGCTGGAGAATCTGAGATAATGAGGTTTAAAGCTGGATGAACACAGCAGGGCAAGCAGCAGAGGAGCAGGAAAGCTGACATTTCAGGCCTAGACCCTTCTTCAGAAGTCTTCCTGACTTGTTCAGAGTATTTGAATAGAAAACACCAGCCACCCTAGGCTCCCTTCAAGTACCAACCTGCATCAGAATCAGATGAGAGTGTCTTGAGTAATGGGGACCCACTCGGCCTGCGTTTCGGTGTATCGCAATTGCTGGATGAGTAGAAGACAGACAAAAAGGTCAGCATTGAAAATTCCACAGACAAGCCACACAGGAGCTGGAAGCATGTGGGGGAACAAAAAGGTCTACCTGCACAAATTTGGTAATTCCCCCCCCCCCCCCCCACGACACATATGCTTCTAGCTCCTGCATGGCTTGTCCCATTTAGAGCATTGCACAAATAAAAAAACCTACAAATCAGCAGGACACATTAAGCACTATTGATTTTGGTTTTCAGAGACAACCTCTGCATAAAGCAGAATACTTGTTCTTCACGACTTCCTCCAATACTAACCAGCCTCTTACTTTTGTACAGAAGGCAATGCTTCCCTGGTCGGGAGCATCAGCCAAGACAATTATAGACAAGAGAGAGGAAAAGAGAGAAAGAGAGAGAGGGACAGAAATAGGGATAAATAAAAAGGGGGAAAAATAAAGAAAGAGAACAACCCCCCCCGCCTGTTTTACCTGCCCAGGCCAGTCAGATTGACCATGTTCAATGCCAGGTTGGTCACCGGCGACAGCACCGGAGGCTCGGAGGAGAACAGGGCCTTACATGAGCGGCCTTTCTCCAGCGGGAGGGACGGTGGCGGCGGCTGCTGCGGCGGCCGCGGCCGCCTCCCGGGGACCTGGCCGGGGCCGAAGCTCCTGCGCGGCTGCCTGGGGGGACTGGTGACCCCGCTCATGGCGGGAGGGAGGAAAGAAATGCTGCAAAAATTTGGCGGCGAGGCCTTTAAAAAGAAAATTAAAAGAAAGGGGCCGCGGAATAAAAGCGGTGAGGAAGGGGGCGGCTTGGAGCAGGAGCGGCGGCGGCGGCGGATGAGACGTCAGGGACCGTGTTCCTATCGTTTCACCCCACCCGCCCCTCCCCGGCGCCAGGGCTTTCTCATTAGCGGTGCCCGGTCCTGTCCAATCTCCCTCTTTCCTTCACCCTCCCGCTCTATCTATCTAACGCTGTCCGGCTCCATGGCGCCCCGAAGGCCTCACTCTCCAGCCACCGCTCGCGCCACCGCCTTTATTTCGAAAAATAACATCGCCGGCAGGCCCCGCCTCCGGGGTGGGCCGGGGGGGGGGGGGCAGGCCGCGGGGGGCACGTGACGCCGACCGGCCAATCCCTGCGTTCCTTCTCCCCCCACCCCCCCCCGACAGATGAAGGGGTGGGGTCTGATCTCCAGCCGCGCCCCCGGGCGCGTCACATCTGGACGGAGGGACGAGCCTTCAGCTGCGCCCCCGCCTCTCCGCGTCACGTGAGAGTGGGGACCAATCCCTGCGTTCCCCATCCCGCACGGAAGGGGAGGAGTCTGACCTCCTCGGGGGGTACCACATCTCAGCCACGCCCCTACACGCAGGGTGACAAGGAGTGACCAATGCCTGCGTCCCTCTCACCCGCGGGGAAGGACGGGCTGTAAGCTCTAGCCACGCCCCCCCACTACCCTCTGGTGTCACCTGTCAGGGAGGTGATGTGCAGGTGCCAGTGTTGCACTGGGGTGGATACAGTCAAAAAGAAAATTACAAGCTTTCTAAGCACAGCCCTTGAGATCAAAAGATCATACCACTGATGTGAGTGGAGTGAACAATGGCTGGCTGGCTGCCTCCTGTTGAATCTTTAATCATCCCAACACACACTTTGTAGTCATAGGCAGTCAGTGTGACATCTTATAAATTACTGCTTTTGGAACAAAACCAGCCTGATACCAGGTTAAAATTCAATAAACGTGGAGCTGGACAAACACAGCATCAGAAGAGCAAGAAAGTCCATGTGTCAGGCAGAAATCTTTCGTCAGGACTGGGGAGGGGAGCCCAGAAATAAATAGAGGGAGGGCCTTGGGCTGTAAGCTCCCAAGGCAAAATATCAAGTGTTGTTCCAGAGATAGTAGGAACTGCAGATGCTGGAGAATCTGAGATAACAAGATGTGGAGCTGGATGAACACAGCAGGCCAAGCAGCATCAGGGGAGCAGGAAGGCTGACGTTTTGGGTCTGGACCCTTCAGAAAATTTTCTGAAGAAGGGTCTAGGCCTGAAACATCAGCTTTCCTGCTCCTCTGATGCTGCTTGGCCTGCCGTGTTCATCCAGCTCCACACCTTGTTATCAAGTGTTGTTCGTCTAGTTTACTTCTGGCCTCACTCTGATAGTGGAGGAGGCCAAGGATGGACATGTCTCCAGGGGAGTGGGAGGGGTAATTAAAATAGATGGTAACTGGGAGGTCGAGTTGGTTGGTGCGCGCAGAGCCCAGATGCTCCACAAACTGCTCCGAGTCTGCATTTGGTGTCCCCGAAATACAGGAGACCACATCAGGAGCAACAGAAACAATAGATCAGGTTGGTTGAGGTACAGGTGAAAATCTGCCAGATCTGGAAGAATTGTTTGGGGCCTTGGATGAAGCTGAGCGGGGATGTGTGGTGACAGGTGTTGCTCCTCTTGCGGTTGCAGTGGTGTGGTGGAAAAGTTGATGGGGAGTGCAGAGCTGAGGAGGGAGTCACGAAATGAATGGTCCCTGCGGAAAGCGGACAGGGGTGATTGTAGGTGGCGGAAATGTCAGAGGATGATGTATTGGATTCAGAAGTTGGTGGGGTGGTACGTTAGGACTAGGGGTACTCTATTCTTATTGTTGGGGAAGGGGGTTTGAGGGCAGAAGTGCAGGAAAGGCGGGGGGGGAGATGCAGTTGAGGGCTTTCTTAATTACAGAGGAGGGGAAACTACAGTCTCTAAAGTAGGAGGATATCTGAGATGGTCTGGAGTAGAATGCCTCATGCTGGGAGCAGATGCAGTGGAGGCAGAGGAATTGAGAATATGGGATACAATTTTTGCAGGAGGGTGAGTAAGAGGGCATGTAATCAAGGTAGTTGTGGGAGACAGTGGGTTTTAAATGGAGGTTAGTGGTGACTTGGTTTCTGGAGATGGAGACGGACAGATCCAGGAAGGAGAAGGAGGGGTTAGAAATGTTCCAGGTGAATTTGAGGGCAGGGTGGAAGCTGTTAGCCAAGTTAATAAAATGCTTGAGCTCCTCATGGGAGCACAAGGCAGCACCAATACAATCATCAATATAAGGGAGAAAGAGGTGAGGGATGGTGCTGGTATAGTTGCGGAAGAGGGACCGTTCCACGAATCCTACAAAGAGGCAGGTATAACTCGGGCCCACGTGGGTGCCCATGGCCACCCCTTTGGTTTGTAGGAAGTGGGAGGAATCAAAGGAAAAATTGTTGGCAAGGCCTCATCCCTACTGTCTGACCTGAGATGTCTCCTACTGTATATTCTTATCACTCTGCCTGTTTGAAGATTGAAAAGTTATGCAGACACTAATGAAACCTTTAATTACCTCAGGGCAGTGACTTGAAACACATTCTAGAATTTGCATCTTAATCAATTGAAACAAACACAGGACTCCATACCCTGCTTCTGCAATTTCTAGAATGTAGGAGATGTATGGATGATTAAAGATTCAACAGGAGGCAGAGATAACAGGGTGCAGAGCTGGATGAACACAGTAGGCCAAGCAGCATCACAGGAGCAGGAAAGTTGACATTTCGGGTCTGGACCCTATTCCCAATTCCTTTGCGTCCACCGCATCTGCTCCCGTGATGAGGCATTCCACTCCCGGACATCCCAGATGTCCTCGTATTTCAAGGACCCCAACTTCCCCTCCACAGTGGTCGAAAACGCCCTCGACCATGTCGCTCACATTTCCCACAACTCATCCCTCACACCCCCTACCCACAATAACAACCAAAACAGAATCCCCCTCATCCTCACGTACCACCCCACCAACCTCCAGATCCAACGCATCATCCTCCGACACTTCCGCCATCTGCAATCTGACCCCTCTACCAAAGACATTTTTCCCTCCCCACCCTTATCTGCCTTCCAGAGAGACCACTCTCTCTGTGACTCCCTTGTCCGCTCCACACTCCCCACCAGCCCCACCACCCCCGGCACTTTTCCCTGCAACCACAGGAAGTGCTACACCTGCCCCTACACCTCACCCTGATCCCAGGCCCCAAGAAAACCTTCCACATCAAAACGATGTCCACCTGCACATCTGCTAATGTGGTATACTGTACCCACTGTTCCTGATGTGGCCTCCTCTACATCGGGGAAATCAAGCGGAGGCTTGGAGACCGCTTTGTGGAACACCTACGCTCGGTTCGCGACAAATGACTACACCTCCCAGTCGCGAACCATTTCAACTCCACCTCCCACTCCTTGGACGACATGTCCATCCTGGGCCTCTTCCAGTGCCACAACGATGCCACCCGAAGATTGCAGGAACACACCTCATATTTCGCTTGTGAATCCTGCAGCCCAATGGTATCAATGTGGACTTCACAAGCTTCAAAATCTCTCCTCCCGACTGCATCCCAAAACCAGCCCAGTTCATCCCCACCTCCCTAACCTGTCCTCCCACCTAACCCCTCCTCCCATTTCAAGCCCCATCCCATCTCCTACCTACCAGCCTCATCCCACCTCCTTGACCTGTCCGTCTTTCCTGGACTGACCAACCCTCATCCATTTCTGAAGAAGGGTCTAGGCCCAAAACGTCAGCTTTCCTGCTCCTCTGATGCTGCTTGGCCTGCTGTGTTCATCCAGCTCTACACCTTGTTATCTCTAACCCCCATCCTAACTCCCCACCTACATTCACCTTTACTGGCTCCATCCCCGCTTCTTTGACCTGTCCGTCTCCTCTCCACCTATCTGCTCCTCTATCCATCTTCTATCCGCCTCCCCCTCTCTCCCTATTTATTTCAGAACCCCCTTCCCCTGCCCCATTTCTGATGAAGGGTCTAGGCCCGAAACATCAGCCTTCCTGCTCCTATGATGCTGCTTGGCCTGCTGTGTTCATGCAGGATGTTGCCTGGTATGGAGGGGGAAGGTCTTATGAGGAAAGGCTGAGGGACTTGAGGCTGTTTTCGTTAGAGAGAAGAAGGTTAAGTGACTTAATAGACACATACAAGATG